TAAAATTAAATTAATAAAATTTAACTATTTAATTATTTAAAAGAATTGAAACGATAATAGTTCATTAAAAAAATACATTCATTATAAAAAATTACATTCATTAAATAAAAAAATGAAATTCATTAAATAAAGAAAATTACATTCATTAAATAAAACAATTACATTCATTATAAAAAACTACATTCATTAAATAAAAAATTACATTCATTAAATTAAAAAATTACATTCATGAAAAAATAAAAAATACTTGAAGAATAATTTTTTTAAAAAAAGGATGATAGATAGAGAGAAATTTGTATTTGTGTTGATTTTAAAAAAAATTAATTTAATTTATAGAGAAGAAAAGGGAAAAAAGAGTGGGGGGGAAGAAAAAGAAGGCATCAGAATGTCTTCAAATTGCGTCAAACATATGACGCAGAACTTTTAACGCAGCTATAACGGGGGAGGGGGCGGTGTTTAACGCCCCTAGGCGTCAAATGCCTCATAACGCCGCTGGTATATATAGTGATATACCGTAATTATTTTTTTTAAATTGCAGGGTTTGGAATAAAGAATATTTTACTAATGACTTACGGACGTGGGTACATAGTGATCAGCGGACACGCGCCGGGAAAAGGCGGCAGGTGGGTCCGGTTCAGGAAAATCATCTCACTGCCGCCCAATTATTATGACTTATCTTTGGACGAAATAAGCGAGATATGGGAGGATGACGATACTGACCTCCATGTGAGTCTGACCAAACTGAATCACAAAACAAATGATGGCCCAACTGAGGCCCGATTAAAATTCTGGCCACCCGAAACCCGCTTGTTTCGGGCTGTGCTGATGTTATTAGGCCTTGTCTGCCCTAAAATACCCTCCCTGGTTAACACCTACAAAGATATTGATCCAATGTGTGAAGTGAAGGATGATGGTGGCACTCTCCAACTTCACTTGCCGGGTTAGCATCTCTCCAATTTCTATTACTTTTTCCCTTTAGGCTCCGTTTGGTACACGGAATTCAAACTATGGAATTGGAATTGAGGACTTCAAATCCAATTGTCATGTTTGGTAACACAAGAATTATGTGAATTTGGAATTGATAGTGCAAAAAATAAATTGGAATTAGGTGAATTCAATTCTATGGAATTGAATCCTATGGAATTTTAATTTAATTTCAATTCCAATTCCATCAATTTCTTGTACCAAACGGACCCTTAAAGTTTGTTGATTTGCATGTTTGAAATTGCCTGCAAATGCATTTAGTTTGGCAATAATTTTGGAGAGCCATTCTTTAACTTAATAACTTCTATGTACTTCTGTTCTTAAAAGATTATCACAATTTAACTTTTTTAATCAGACTATGACACCCTTCAATAACGAGTTAAGTATAGTTTAAACTAATTAAGTATTATAAAAAATTAATATTTCGGAACTATATTTAGAAATGAACCTAATTTTACTAATATTAAATTATAACTAAATATACTTTTTTCATAATTCATGATTAAAAGATATCACGGTTTGTCCAAAAAGTCAAACTGTGGCAATTGTTTAGGGACAGAGGGGTATTTTTTAGGAATGGTTAAAGATACGGAGTAACTTGTAGTCATGGTCATTTTTTTTGTCCCTATAATTTTTTGTTTAAATCATTCTTACAATTTTTTTTAAATGGTCTTTAAACGTAATTAGCACTTCCAATGAGTTGAGATAGCACATTCATTTTATCTTCAAGATTATAGTCTTGCATTTCTAATTATTTCATACGCGTGCCAAATGCAAGACTAAGATATTGGTATATGTTTTATGTTTCACTCCTAATTTAGAGTTTCCCAAATGCAAGACTAAGATATTCGGTACAAAATAAATACGTTATCTCAACAAATTAGAAGTCTTAATTACGTGTAATGACTATTTTTAAGAAAAATTTCAGGGGGCTAAAAACATGCTACCTCTTTCCCACTATTTTTGTCTAGTTTGGTTTTTTTGAACCAAACTAGACAAACTTTGAGCTTCAATTATTCTTGAATTGAATTGCATATTATTATAATGAAATTAAATTTGGAAAATACTCAACAAGATAAATTGAATTAAATCATTCCTATACTAACATACATTAGAGTTACTATTTAACTAAAGCTTAAAGTTTATTTTATTTGATTTGAAAATATCAAACTAGACAAATATAATAGGCGGAAGAAGTATTTAACCTTTAATAGAACTAGATAAGTATTATTTAAGTACAATATTTTCAAGTACTGAAAATTGGAAACTGAAAACCACTTAATCGGTTGTCGGTCGTCGTAACTAAATACGGAGTATATAACAATTCCATGTTTGCAGGGTTCTCTAAAGAGCAGGTAAGCTTTTACATAACAGAATGTGGGAAATACCTCTGGATCAGCGGACATAAACCGTGTGAAAGCGGTCAGCATGATTGGATTCGTTTCGTTAATCAATTTGAAATTTTAGGGAAAGCCGACGTGAAATTGACCGATCTTGAAATAGAATTCAAAGACGATTGTGTGTATGTAAATGGCCCAAAATTGGAGGAAAAAAGAGAGCAAAGCGAAGAAGGCGAACATGAGCGTACATTTAATGAGTCTACGAAATAATGTGAATTATTCATATTTCAATTATATACACTTCATTTTCTAGAGTGTCCAGTTAATATATTTGTATTGTATATAAGTGTAATTTGTACAATTCCTCATCGTTCATATAAAGCCTTTCCACTCTTGGTTTGGTTGATTCTTCAAATTAAATTCTATAATTGGCCTATATCCTTATTTCATTTAACTAAAATTTTATTTTACATCTTGTCATACATTTAAACTATTTAAGCTAACAATTATTTCTAATTACAATTGTTTGCAATTAAGGCTGGATAAACTGATTTTATTTATTAACATTACCTGTGTATCTCAAAGTCATTTATCATGCCGTTAACCCATGGTGTGTTGGTATCCATTTTTACAGATTTCGCACCTCCCTAACGTAAACATGACATTTTGTTTTCATGAGTAAGTAGGCGTAAGAAGGTACGCTCGTTTAATGTTACGAGAAGGAGTTTACTTATTTATTTTACCCTCGTTTATTCTCAATTCTTATTTTCGCCTATGACACGCATCATGTGCATGCACTAACGTATATAACATACAACACATGCAAAGAATGTTGGTGATTTTAGTGTCATCGTTTTATTTTGTGTAATTGGGTTTACTTCGATCGGATAGGAATTTAAATAGATGTTGTCAAACGAGTTAGGAGGCGCGGAGTGCGCGCTCGTTCAACGATATTATAAATTCATTACGGGGTCCGGGGGCGGCAGGCCCCGGGTAGCGGGGGGGTCCAAGGGGCGGCAGCCCCTGGCGGGGTCCAAGGGGCAGAGCCCCTGGCCGGGGTGGGAAATTTTTTATTTCGGACGTTATTTCTTTATGAAAATCCTTAAGATTTTCGTGATCGGAGTCCAAATCATTAAAGGACTCGAACTAGCGGATAAACGTCAAAATACTCTAAAAACCGCAGGAGGCTCTTCAAACTCGCGCCTATCTTCTCCCCACGCGAACGTACGCGTATGTCTACGCGAAGGATCATGTCCGATCATGGATTTTTCGATTCTATAAAATAGAATCTCGTGGTATGGATTGGGGTACAAATTTTCGATTGCTTGTTCTTGACTAACGTCTTATCCGATTGAAGTATTTCGTATACCCCGAAATAACTTTGATCTGAAAGCGTTTCGTACGCGATTCGTTATTCTATCGAGTTCTTCGTTTAATCATAGCGGCTCGTAAAAAAGATTAACTATAGAGCCTTCACTTGTTATCTCCATTTCTGATTAATCATCTTCTTTTCTCCACGATTCTCCTCGCGTGTTGTCTCTACTGAGCTTCAATGTATTCAAGGACTTTAAATGTTACTCTTTATGTAAATTAAAGTTATTCGATACGTATGGGAGGTATGAGGTTAAAGAAAAAACTACATCTAGAATTAAAGAGATGATGCATGACACACTGGTCGTATTTAAAACAAAAATATGACTAAGCCACAAAATCCACTCTGCAATAATCATTAAGTATTGAGCGAGAAAATGGCGCTCGCCCTAGAACCCAAGTTTATTCTATGAAATAAACTAACATAATAATTAAACTATCAAATAATTTAATTTAAATGATTTAAGAAGTGTAAAAAATATTAAAAAATCAAAAATTACAAAACTTTTAAATAAATGATTACTATACACAGACACACATAGATACACGTACAGATATATATATATATATATATATTTTGGTTCTGGTGAGAATGCGATCTTAGGAGAGAAATGAGAATGAATATGGTGCTTTAGATTGTGCGATCTAAGGGTCAGAATTGCATCAAAATTAGGTGCAACAAAATGGTTTGAAAATGCATCACGTCAAAATGCATCATAATCCTTTGAAAATGCACTATCTCAAAATCTGAGCGCAGGATGCAATCTGAGCCGCACGATGCATCAGATCCTACGGCTAGATTTCATTCTCATTTCTCTCCACAAGGTGCATTCTCACAGGAACCGGCCCCATATATAGGGGCCAGTTCCTATAAGAATGCACCTTGTGGAGAGAAATGAGAATGAAATCTAGCCGTTGGATCTGATGCATCGTGCGGCTCAGATTGCATCCTGCGCTCAAATTTTGAAATAGTGCATTTTCAAAGGATTATGATGCATTTCAACGTGATGCATTTTGAAACCGTTTTGTTGCACCTAATTTTGATGCAATCCTGACCCTTAAATCACACAATCTAAAACACCAGATTCATTCTCATTTCTCTCCTAAGATCGCATTCTCACCAGAACATATATATATATATATATATATACACACACGCACACACACACACACACACACATATATATATGTATATATATATATATATGAGAATGTAATCTAATGAAAGAAATGAATATAAATCTAGACTGCTGGATCTAAATATCTCGACCGCAGGATGTAATCTCCGATGGTGTCTAGGAAGCACAACCAAAGTGTAATACCCCAACCAACATAACCCGAATAAATGGATTAGCGAACCGGGTTGCTACTAATTTGGTACCCACATACAATATTTTTCAACAAATTTAAAACTCAAACAACTGAAATTAATTTAAATACATAACAGAGTTTATACAAACAAAGCGGAAGCCTTATAATTAAATCGAACATTAAATTCCTGCATCCGTACATCTCCTCCGTCATGCTGCTCTCCGGGATGGACTCCAGAATCAATCTACCACAACCACCTACGTGTAGCAAATAAGAAAAAAAAGGGCTACACGCTCAGCATTGAAGCTAAGTGAGAAATATCTAACAGTTCGAACATACACATAGGCGAATCCACTAATTCACAATTATCACATGATAAAATGCACACAACATGCTTGGCAACAATCATACAGCATCCAAGATATAACATGCATAATCAATGTCATAACAGTTCATAGGATACAAACAGCATCGGTATATGTATTAGGAACTTTCCTTTTTAGTTTACTCTACTTTCCAAAACGTGCTTGGCTCTTAACCTATGCTAGGTTAAAGCTTAACTGAATTCGACTTGCATATGGAGTCATGACCTTCCCCTTCGGAACGAAGGTCAAGCAAAAACCAACTCTGGAGTTCCTCGTTGGGTGGGTGAGATCCCTGTCCCCTTCAGAACGACAGTTCTTAGATCCCTGTTTACACGTTTTTACCCGAACAACCATTGGACCCAACAGGTACCACATGGCTCTAACTAACTGTACTTATGGCATACCTTGCCACTAACCCATTCAGGTCATTTCCTAGAGTTCTTCTAGGTGATATATGCAATATTCATTAATCAGTACATAATACAACATTCACGGTACGGGGTACCGTCCTTACGGTACCTGGGTACCGGTCCTACAGTACCGGGGGTATCGTCCGAATCAATGAACTCTTTCGGTAGGACTGCTACAGTAGCCAACTACCGACCAGGCGGTAGGGCCTACCGTCCGTCCGGTACCTAGGTACCGTACGGTTTCAGCTACTGACAGAGGCAGAAGAAACCAACAGAGGGTGACGGTTGCACGGTACCGTCCCGGCGGTACCGCCTACCGTCTGACGCAATAATTTTCCAACTTCTTACCTGTTTCGTTTTTCAGCATCAGATCGGCAACAATCTCATAGCACAACACCAATAGGTTCATATTAACGTTCTAAACATCATCAAGCACAACAATTCATCAATCAACACCTAAATCATGCATACTACCCTTTTTATTTAACGGCAATAATTCCCGAAACCATAATCAACAATTACACACATAAATCACACAGATCAACCACGATAATAATTATGAACGGAATTTCAAACCTAGATGCATATTCTAGTGTTAGATGTCCACGTACTCACCTCGGTTTTTTGATTCGAATTCAAAGAAACCCTTATTCGACGGAGCATTGACGGAGTCAACCATACCCCGCTGCCCCACTCTTGATCGTTGATGTCCGAAGATCGTCGGGGTGCTACCGCCACTGTCCAGAACCGCCCACTACTGCCAGGCCTGCCCGAACCAAACCGAGCAATACCCAGTCGTCGCCGGTCGCTAGAGCTTGCTGGTTCGCCGGCTGTTTTCTCGCCACTCACCGGAGAAGTTGAGGGTGAGACCATCCTCGTCCCTGTCTAGACTCCACCTCGCCGCTGCCGGGGTCGCTAGAATGGCCGGTCACAACTCTGCGCCGATCGTTCTCGTCGAAGGACTATCGCCGCTAGTTTGGCTCGTCACCGGAGCAGAGAAAAGATCCGCCGTCCCGCGTGCTAGTCGCCGTCGTTGATGGGTTGGGGGAGTCGTCGTCGCCAATTGTCACCATCCCTCGTGCTGCTGCGTGTGTTGGTCAGGGAAGGAGAATCAGAGAAGAGGGGGAGGCGGCGATCGAATAAAGAGACGCGTGAAAAGCCTAGGGTTTTGTACTCCTTAGCTTAAAATAACGTGTCTGAGTGGAACACGCTTTTCGGGACCAATTGCTCCAATTTGAGATCTGTTCGCGTCGTTGCATTTGATTTGTCGATCCTTACCCAACGATATAACTTTTATAATCATTCAATAAGTATTTACAGGTTCCACCTGGTCCGTCTTAATTCTTTTGTTTAATTAGTCCGTCTTAATTCTTTTGTTTAATTAGTAGCGATCAGTCTTTTACTTTAAATCTTTACAAATATAATCAGATTAGTTTCGTTTTGTTAAGACGATTAGAATCTCTAAAATATCTTTTAATTCTTTAAAAGAATGGATTGTCGTAAATAAATAATTCTTATTTATTTAGTTATCGATTAACTTCTAGACCGGTTTTCAGGGCGTTACATTTCTTCCCCTTAAAGAAATTTCGTCCCCGAAATTCTTCTAAGGTATAGAGTGCAATAAGTTGGCTCACACTTTCTTTACAATTATGGTTAGGTGAATGGCCACACCATTCCCACGAAGATTCTCCTCATTTATCGTTCGAGGTATTGTCGTAGGAGTTTTGTATTTGTGTTTCGTTCAAGACATACGATAAGTTTGTCAAGTTCATAATTTGATCTTTCATGAGTTTGCTTCCAACGGACATGGATGGGGTACCTCCATACGCGTACAGATAATACTCTAAGCTTTCAGATATCGTAGCTTTGGTAATTTGGTCGATCATTCAGTTCGTATTCAAAGTTTGTTCATTTTGTTAGCATGAGATCTTCTCGAATTTATCGTTGATTAACAGAATGGTGGTAACGTTCACGCCCTTTGTGTGGTCAACAATTGCGTTTAGGAAACTTTGTTTCACCCCTAGGCTCTTCGAATGTTAAAAGTCGTTTCGTAAGTTCGTCTCGAGCTGTTTTTCTCCCTATCGTGCTGCCACGTCACGATTCACGTAGCATGGCGTCATGGTCAGTTTCACGGCGTCATGGTCTGCATATAACAGATTACTATTCAATTATTATTCATGTTCGACAATTCTTTCTGCTTCATTAGCGTATTCGTTTATTTTGCTCGAGTCTATTACAAGATATATTCCTAGTAACAATTAATTCGTTCGTCTATTATCAATGTCTATCTTTCTGAGCTGAAGGAAGATTCTTCAACATGCAATTACGTTCATAATTTTTTTATGATTACAACGTACTTGAGATTTATGGATTTCGATTTCAAGAATTCAGTTAACAACAGCTCTCTCAAGTTTACTCGTAACGGTCTTCATAACAACCTTTTGTTCAGCAAGTCTTCGTGCGATCCGTTCAAGGTGGTTCTGAATACTTCAGGTGACGAGATACGATGCTGTCTTTTCATTCCTATGTACACGTGTCTTTGTTCTTGGTAGAGTAAAATCTTCATCGTTAAGATCTTCAGCGAGATTCTCCAAGAATTGCAGGAACGTACAGACTGGTTCAATAGGATCACGATGTTTTCTTAGATGCGTCTATTTAGAATACGTTCTTTATTAGAATTTAGTCAATTGCTTTGCAGAGTACAAGTTTAAAAGTCAAAGTCAACGTCATTACTTAGGACTCTTGCCACACAAGGTGTTGTTATCTTCACGGTTATGTCATCACTTGATTTTGGAAAGAGATTTTGTCAATTCATTATGGAGATACCATCTCCATTCACGTGTAGAAGTTTGACCACCGTCAATGGGTCAAAGTAGAGAACAAACAGTGTAGTCAACATACAGATGTAGGTTACGGATAAACTCTAACAGCTCATATTAATCATTCGTTTGTCACGGTATTCAAACCCAACGTTCGTAGAATTACACACATTCGTCAAGGTGTCTCAAGAATTACTTCCTAAGGATCGCTTGTCTTCGATTCACTTCTCGAGCGAGTCTTTCGAGAACTCTTCATTATACGAACTACATATGTTCATGTTTAAATTCGAGAGATGTCGCACATCGAATAGTTAGTTGTTGGCTCGTTTCTTGGATCATGTTTCATCGTGATTCATCCATCATTGTCAGGTTCGTTTTGTGCGTCAAAGGTACTTCGTTAGAAGTCATAACGATCGTCATCCATGTACGTTTTATCTGCATCTCATAGTCGCTTGGTACAATTCGTTCATCAGCTCGCGTGATGTAAATTTCCTATTTAGCTTTCAAACCGTCACACGCTGCACTCGTCGGCACCATACGGTTATCATTTGTCGTCGTCATGCGATTGTCGTCATTCGTATTCTTTCGTGTCAGGTTGGTCAATTCTACACATCGGTGATTATCGATATACTGTCTCGTCCGGTGTGCGGCGTACCTTAGTCGTCATGTCCCTGGGAGTGTGTGTCGTGCACCCTACCTAGCTTGTGTAGTTCGTGTGGTGTTAACAACAAGATTCTTCTCTTCGCTTCCAAGTCACGTCGGGATGCAAATTTAATCTTTCGGATGGAGTGTAACACCCTAATCCGTCCAGGTCTGCAGCCCCTTTCGGACTAAAGTATTAACTTGGTAATCGTAAAATTTAAAACATTTCAAATACTTTTATTCATCATAAATATTATTTAATACATAACTGTACCAAAATACAGAGTATTTAACAATAGTGCGGAAGCAATTTAAATCATGTTTAATAACAACACAATTATTTATTTTAAAATCACAAATTCCACCACGACAGTCTCGCCCCTTCCGCTGCCAGGAACATGCCAATCATTCATTCTGCCTACCTGCGTGTAGCAAATAAAACATACTACACGCTCAGCGATGAAGCTGAGTAAGCATATCTAAAGCTTCGAACATCCACATAAATTGAATCTCAATTCACAAATAACCTTTTGATATCATGCACACAATATATAATTCATTCATGATATTCTCAATATTTTTATTTCAATATCTCAATATTCCACATTCATATTCAATATTCAATATTCAAAAATATCCTTAAACTATACCTAGTCTAAGGCCAATTCCATTCTTAAACTGATTCTAGTTCAAGATATCCTAATCCTTAAGCTAGGCCTAGTTTACGATATATTTTTAAAAAGAGTTTTCAAATCTTAAACTTACCTTCGCTTAAGGTCAACCAAAAACCGACAGCGTAGTGTTCACTGTTGGGTTGGGTGGTACCCCCAAACGAGTAGGTACTCAAGTTTGGTTCTTGGATCCCGTATGTACGTTTTAACCCTAGCCACCGGGCATCATACCTGCAAGGCCTAACTTAAATAGGTATATCTTAGAGTTCTTCTAGATACCTTTCACATCAATTTCATTATGGGTATATCTTAGAGTTTGTTCTAGATACCCTTAACAATACATTCTCGTTATGATTATCAATATATCCATTTTTAATTATGATTAAGTCATCAATAATCATTCTAATCAGTAGGTTCATCATTCATAATATTTATTCATCACAATGATCAATCAACATAACATTCGATAGGAAATAGTGGCCTAGTCTCGAGTGTTAACACCCAAACTTACCGTCATGCATCACATAACATATTAGGATTAATCAAAATATTATATTTACTTTAAAAATGGTTTCATTTCTGTCTTGGAGTGGAAAAATATCATGATAGCATTTTTTTGGAGTTAATATTCGAACATGAAGATTTTGGACAGGTTAAAATGGGCTGTGGCGGTACCATCCTACCGTCTCACGGTAGTGCATTACCGTCGCACGGTAGTGCAGTACGGTCGCACGGTAGTGCATTACCGCTATTGCGTGCTGCATTCGAATCAGGAACAGTACTTCTTCTTCAACCTCGGTTCAAGCTTTGTGGATATCATTTTTAACTACCAAATTTCAATTAAACTATATAGAAATGTTCTCCAAGGTTCATAGATCATTTTGGTATCATTAATTCATAGTTTTAACATCAAATTCAAGGTTTATGATTCTTAGTTCTTCAAGCATGTCAAACACAAAACTCAACCAAATGACCATTTATGAACGTAGAAACGGCCTATATGAACATTCTAGTCATTAGATATATCTACGGGCTTACTTCGAAGTGAAACAATGATTCCGGCGGAAAAACGGCGAAACTTCCGGTGAACACCACGGCTTGCTCTAGCGACCTCTCACCAAGATGACAGCACCACTGCACTCCTCTCTCAACAAGGAATAGAATAGAATGTAATTTTGTAAGAAATGGTGAAGAATGGAGGGAGTTGTGGTAGCCCTTTTATAGGAGAAGGAAATGGAAGAAGACACATGTTGATGACCTCTCCTTCGACTGTTTAGGCGGCTGAGTGGAGCGGGCAGCTATCTTCTCTGATTTTAAACGTAAGTTCCTAATTGGGACTAATTTGGTCCCAGTCGGGAACACTTTTTGGTCCAACTTTCTCCGAATTGAAATCCGATTGAACCGTTGGAATCAGACAGTTAAACTCTACATAAGGATAAAATTTTCATTATTTATTGACAAACTTTATAAATCACTTATTTTTAGGTCCTTCTCAGTAATTAATTAATTATCAATTAATTAATTCTGATAGGCCTAATTTCGAGGCGTTACATTTCTCTCCCCCTTAAAATAATTTCGTCCTCGAAATTACCTGAGTCATTGATTGAAGAGGTTCGGATATTGCATTCTCATTGAGTCTTCAGTTTCCCATGTTGCCTCTTCAGTCGAGTGATTCCTCCATAGTACTTTGACTAGAGGTACGGATTTGTTTCTCAATTGTTTGACTTCTCGTGCTAGATTTTGTAAAGGTTCTTCCTCATAAGTCAATTGTTCATCAAGAGTTACGATTCCTTCAGTCAAGATATGTGATGGGTCGGAGCGATATCTTTTCAACATTTACACATGGAATTTATCATGGATTTTGTTCAGTTCTGGTGGAAGTTCTAACCGATAGGCTATTGGACCCACACGTTTAGTGATTCGATAGGGTCCAATATATCTCGGACTTAGTTTTCCCTTCCTACCGAAACGTAACACTTTCTTCCACAGTGAGACTTTCAGAAACACTTTGTCATCAACATTGTATTCGATCTCGC